AGTCCACTGTCAGATGCTGGGAAACAAGACAACTACTATGGCAGACCACTTCGGACTAGGTGCATTTTACATAGTCCCCTTGACCACAAGACCAAGTTGCGACAACGAGGTCAACCCACTGTTTTTATCCCTCATTTTCCTACTTAAAGTCACAAAGTAAGAGCTTAACTGATTCATACCAATACACAAATAGAGATAATCTAATTGACAAAAATATTATGGATTATCACTCAAATATAATCAGATATGAAGCAGGATAAAAAGCTACCTCGGTGCCAATTGTGTTCTCAAGGGAGATCTTTGGACTTGAATCAACCTGAAGTGGTCGAACGATGGCAGGTACAGCCATGTCGAATTTGCAGTGATCTTTGGAAACCTCCTCGATGAACTCCTGAAAAATGAGAGTAAATGATGAGTGGGGATAAACGTAAATAAAAGATAAATTTACAAATTGACAAAAAGCATCTTATTTGGGAAGCAAAAATAGAATTGAAACAATTTAAGAAGATTAAAAAAATTAAAATTAAATGTAAATAGTCAGTTTTGCTATATACGATAGTGGAAATGCTCGGGAACAGATAAGGATGGAAGCAAGCAAGCAAGCAATAGACCCTACAGTTCCAGGCTCCTCTCATATGAAAATACCCTGTGACGTCTGACCCAACTTGTCAGTAAAAATAATTATTTGCAACACCAATCAAAATTAAGGTGTATATGGATGGCCAAACATCAAGCAAGTGACGAATTAGGGGCTAACTAAGCTCATAGTTATAGCAGAAAACATATCATGTCTATAATATATGTGATGATGAAACCGAGGTTTCTACACACTTGCGAAGGAATGTTATTTGGATTTTTTTACAAGTATGAGTAGGTCTGACATTTCCATTAAAGTTCACATAACTTTTTTTCCCAGAAGGCGCTCTTTCTAGGGTGGATTGCAGTTTCGACCTCGCCTAGGTCTCCTCAGAACCCCTAGTCGGACTCTAAACCATGGTAGTGCAGCGTTAACATCTGCGCCACAATGCCGCAAGTGCCTTCAAATAAAAGATGTGAATTTCAAGGAAGGCCAGGCCTTTTACACTTTCACATTCCGCGGTGGTATTGCCGATGAGGCAAAGTTGTATTCGCTGTATCAATCAACTACATTACTTATTTTACGTTTATAAGTAGGGTTTCGAGATGGTCAGTAGATCATATATATATATATATATGAGATGTATTTATCTTATTTCATCTAAGGTAATGAAGGACTGTCGTTGAAGTTTCCCACAATGATATAGGTAGGCCTTACGCTTCCATTGATTCAACATAGCCTTGCTTCCTAAAAGTTATTATCATTTAGGGTGGACTGCAGGTTTGACATCGCTGATGAGACCTAGGCGAGATCGAAACTACACTTCACCATGGATGAGAATGCATTTTGGGAAGGCTATGTAAAATTCAATGAAACATAAGACCTACTCATATAATTGTGAGGAAATTCAATTGTCAATCATTAATCACCTGAAACGAAATAAAGTGAATATATCTCGAAAACTTACATTTAAAAAATCAAGTCATAGATTATAAAAAGTAAAGGCATAATAAATAGTTGATAGAACTTGCAAATCAGACAGTCTTTTTAATAAACCTATAATCATTAGAGGATAAACATTTGAAATATTGTTCATACCAATATTAACCAAGTGATACTAGCACAGATACAAAGGATATTTAGGTAATGTCGCTTAGGAAATATATACCCCTTACAAGCTACCTGGGTAAAGACCAGAATAGAAAATTGCATTCGGAATGCATATCACTGGGGCATCATCAAGCTGCCACTCAAAGATAAAATAAATTATCGTAAGTGACTATGCCGAGAGGCTATATTCAATACGGGATAATGTATGCTCAATTTCAAATAAGACAGGAGGCCCGCCTAACATACAAGCATATAAGAAATTTAGGTTTCGATTAGAGGCAGCTTAAACGTAACTTTGAGGGATCACCGAAAAGAACCGTCGTAATTCGAAGAATTAACTGCAAATCCGTACCCTTCAAACCCTTTTGACTAGTAGTTGGCCTAGTAAAATATATTTCATCATTGCAAAATTCTACCACCAAATCTTTAGAATTTTGGTTCGCTTAGTCACATTTATTGACATTTTGAATGCATTTTATTTCTCGTGGTAGGAAAATTCGAAATTCCTGAAGTTTTTAAAATGGGTGTCAACAAATTCATTCACCTATCGATAGTACTGACTAAGATGTCTTATTTAGACATTGGAAATTTCCCTATCGAATAGAACATCGGCCCAAAGCAAAATGGATGCAAACTATAGAAATAAGGGCCACAATTAGAAAGTGTTGTTGCTGCGTACAAAGAGGTCACGTCCTTTGAAGCTTTGCTAAAAGTTTTATAATCACTTCTATAATCCGGCTGAAACAATCGCGATGTAACAGGAGTTTGAGCGACCTCTTACTCATTCAACCTTAACCCATACCATTATAACTGGGCAATCGCTTGCTGAGTCCTTTTGTGTTTTTGTATCCGTATAAAGTGGTAGCAAACGTATAACCTCAGTACTGCCAAGTCGTGCCAGGTAAATGCAAAACGAATAAAAGAAAAATTAGCAAAAAAATTTGGAAAATTTTGAGACGATCATAGTTGTACTGAATTTAAAGCAACCAACGCATTTAAACTGAATATGTGGCGAATGATCGACTCTTAGTTATTTACAAAGCGCTTTACTCTTAGCACCAAGTAAAATCTAAGGAATTAATATGAGATTAATTGAGAATTTTTAATATTAAATACATGAACGGCATTAACTATGTTCGTTGAACGAGTTCATAACTAATAAAAATCCACTTTTCGTTCCTTCAGAAAATGGAGAACAAGTAAATGGGCGTAAGATGAATGTAATCTCAAGTGAGTTCCAGAGATACTGTTAATTTGCTCATGGAAGCGAATGTGCAATTTTTACGATCCAACTGCAAAAAAGATTCTTCTATGTGCTACGACGTAGGCCAACAAACCTGATCAGAGAAAGGGAACATAATCCTAGAGTAGCTTGTTACAAGCGAGAAACTGGGGCTATAAAAATTAGCGTCGCGTGAAGTCCCAGTGCTAGAAAGGATAGTAAGGATGTAAAATAAAACCAGGGCGTAAGGATCAGACGATCTCGTAAGAAGGAAAGTAAGTGCCAGCTCCTTCGTAGCGCCCCTATAAATTCTTACCTAACTAGTTATTTGCCAGTGTGTGTCTATGAACATCAGATTGACTCCTGGATGATAGCCTAGCTCGACGTTATCAGTCAGGAAAATGCAGCGGATAAACTCGTTTGTTTAAAGTTTAGTGAATCAAACACGATGAAAGCGATCTTTATTAGATTAGATAGTGCTTGGGCTAGATAGGATGTTTTATAAGAAGAATAATAAATGAAGTGAGAGTGGATTGAAACTAGTTACTTAAAGTTAAAGTAAATCAAAATTTTACCCTGCATGATAATGACGCAGGACAAGATAAAAGAAATTTCTCTTTCTCACAGACGCACCCAATTGATAGAGATGAACATCTTGAGATCAAGAGGGTCACCAGCAAGCTGGCCCTGGATTCGAGTCAGCGAGTGGCATGTAGCCAATGCTTCGATGAGAGGCGATGGTTTCGGCAATAGGCTTGGATCTGATTCGGCTTCTGTAAATATACCATCGTAAGAAGGAATCACTCCCCATAAGTCGAGTCCATCTTGCGTCAGAGTGCCAGTCTGATTATCAGAAAAGATCATTAATATAGGCAGAGGTGGAAAGAATAATTAAGTTAAAGTGGTGAGGTCGAAATGTTGAGTAAAAGGAAGTAGAAAAAAGGTGCAGTGACTTAACTTAAAAATTGTCACGTTCCATCATTAAAAATGACTTGTAATCACAGGGCATGAACTTTGTGCTCAAGGGCTATTTAAGCTCAAGAAACAAAATTTAAAATACTATTTAAGTTATTAATTCTTCAAATCCTGGAATTAGAAGTTAGTTTCTATTAGGATATTGATTAATTGAAACAATGTGACGAAACGATCGGAAGACGAAAACGAGACGCCCTTAGTAAAATATTTTCAAGTAACCTGAAAACAGCTTTTGAATACATAAAAAGCAAATGAATAGGCCGTAATATAAATAAGAAAATAGCAAATGGATACAACACTTGTAAAAATAACAAATCAACCAAAGCTGTAAAAAACATCCTCAACATTTATCCTAGTGCGCTGTAAAGCCATGTGTCCGATCCAATGGTTTTCCAAAACTCAATCAAGCGAATTCTGGAAATTCGGATGCCTATCCTCAGAGGAGAGTAGTATGGCTTGACAGCAGCTCATTTCAAGCACAACTTTCGAGCAAAATCAGAAGTCAGCCAATTTTACATCTTACCGTAAAATACATATAACCATTCATTCAGCCAATTTAGGTGGTTGATAAGGGAAATAAACTCACTTTAAAGAGGAATGATAAAAGAATGCTAACAAACCGCAAAATCTATTGGCCAATTTCAGGCCAATTTTCATCCACTCAACCGATCCTTGAGTTTTGGCAGATCTACCTAAGACTTTATGGGTGTTAAAATTCCCTAAAATATTTTTAAACACGATCGAGGCTCTACAAATTCTTCGGTTCATAGCTAGTCTCCTTTCAGAAACAGTCTGTATAATTTAAAGAAGTACGTTAGTGATTCGACGACAAGCATTTAGTAAAGAAGACTTTCCTGGTCAGAACGAAGATTATTTTACAATAGTCCTTATCCATGAAAGAAACGCAAAATAATGGCCTTAGGTTTCGCCTTACAGTAAAAAAAATGAATAATCGTCATTTTTTCTAAAATCACAATTTAATTCAGTTCAAAAATATAGCATAGAGTGTTGAGACGATTTTCAGTTCGTATGAAGGTGTGAAATTTGCAGGTCAACTTCATTCAAAGAAGATATTCTTCTTGGTCTATATTTTTTATTCACCTCCGACGTTCAGATGTCAAAACAACCCTCTTGATTCCAGCGAAAACATGATTTTTTAAATTGCTAAAGTAAAAGTATCATCAGAAATAGAACACATTTCCAGAAAGATTTCTAGTAAAAAACGAAACAAGAAATTTTTCGGCTAATCCTTGTCTATTATAAAAATACAAACAGTATTTAGTTCGGGAAGTACAAAGAGAATCACACAGAAGTAATCGTCTTCTGGTTAGATCAACCCATGAAGTTAATTCCCCAAAAGGCCCTAACAAATTCAAAGTAGCTCAGGCCACAGTCTCTTTTTGCTGTATAGAAATAGTTTGATTTCGTTTTCACAACGTTGCTGTTTTGTCAGGGCAACCTAGCTGGACGAACCTTGTCTTAAGTCATCCGCTATAGTCGTCATAATTATTCCTAGCGTCTGACAGTGGATTTGAACCATTCCCAGACGCTTCGCTGGCATCTTCCGTGAGTCTTGCCACTTTTAGCACCAAACTACAACTCGTCAGAGAAAAATGATCAATTTTCGTCTTGTGTCCTGATATATCAGTATAAACTCTATCCTTGAATCTGACTTACCAAAAATCACAACTTCTGACTTGTTTAAATTCGATTAGCCTAGAAATGTGCCTTTTATGACGAATTTGGTGGGGCGCTATTCCACATTTTTACTTTCCTTGATCCCCATCTCTCTTAATTTGCTAGAATTTCTTATATAACTTCACGTCCGAATTTATCTCATGGTCCCGGATATCCGTTTTTATCCTACTAGCTGACTGAATCCACTCAAACCAGTCACAGTGTTTTACTCATGACGCTATCTCTCGTAGTCTGTCACAGGCTAGCGGGACTCGAACTCAAGTAATGCAGCACAGTCTGAATACCTTAATCGCTAAGCTACACTAGCACGAGTGCCCGTAAGTGACATACATACGTGAATTTTAAAGAAGGCTTAGGCTTACTTGAAATTTACTTATGTCTTGCAACCAAAGGACAAACTTGGCAATATGACGTAGTGGTTACCATGTCGAGACTATAACTTACACCACCTGAGTTCGGGTTACGTTGCTGATGAGACCTAGGCGAGGTCGAAACTGCAGTCCACCCTGGATAAGAATAGCTTTTGAGAAGCAATGTTGTGTGAGATGTAATTGACACACTAGGCCTACTAATATCGTTGTGAAAAAATTTAACTACCAAGCTGTCAACATCCTAAATGAAGTAGGCTAAATACAGCTCTATTAATAAATATAGTTTGAAATTAATTTGTGGTTAAATGAAAGAGTCACGTATTAAAGATTCCAGGTAAGATAAACAAATACTAACCAAAGAAGATACCTTTAAGTCAAATTTATTGTGTCATGATAATGATAAACTATGTAAAGTGTTTAGCTTGAAATCATTGGCCCTGACAACAAGACCAAGTTGTGACAACGAGGTCAACCCCCTTCTATAAATCGAAAGGTGACTGCGACCATACCAGAGACCACAACATCTTGGTCTTCATATCTTCAAGT